TTCCTAAGCAAACATGCAGGGCATCTTTTATTCTCTGCTCATATTTTATTCCCAGAAAAATCTCAGTTTAGAGGAGGGGAACAAACACACTAATGAGCTATAACAATGATTTCAGCGACAGACATATACAAGAAGCACTAGGAAATATGTTCCGGGACCTTGAAGGAAGAATTGGCCCAAAGGATGTGGGTTTAGTTAACTCTTCATTTCTAGTCTGCAGCTTTTTCAACATTCCTGAAAGGTCATCCACTGCGAAGCTCTGCCGGCCTTACTAAACACCTCGCCTTTCCTAGTCTCTGTCTGCTCCTGCTTCCCCAAGTCCCCAGTTCTACAAGAGGATGAAAACTTGGCCCAGCTATTAACGCCCAACCCTTTTGGCTGGAGACTGCTCAGCTTGACAGGTTTAACTCCAGGAAAGCGCCACACCTATGATGACTCATTGGGAAGTGAAGTTCAGTATCTTGGCCTCATTTCACTCTGGGTCTCCAGAAACTTTGGAGTGCAGCATCCCACTCTCTGGCTACGCCTTCTCATCCTCTCAACCAGTGGTGTAGGTGGCATAGCCAGGGCAGGGCCATGCCGCACTTTGTTGAAGCACAGACAGTTTGAAAGGCCCTCTTGAAGAACAGTAATATGAGCTTAACAGATGGAGAGACAGTGTAAAAGCAATGCATAGTGAGAAAGACGCTAAAATTGTTAAGTAGATAAATATCACATTACCAAATCCACTGACAATGGGAATATTTTAATGAACGAACAAATTGTGCCTCTACGCTGCTTTTTAAAAATAATTATTGGCCTCTTGTTTTTGGTGGTATTCAGTGTTTATTTATTTATCCACAACTTTATGACAACATTTTAAAGAAAGAATGGGGGAATAAAAGTAGACAGAAAACAGCCTTTTCTCTATTAAATTTAACTTGCAGAAAAAAAAACACAATGAAAAGTGACATTCTGGGTGACTGTCTATTTTTTGATGCGTTGTTGGTTTGTCAGATCTCTGGTATGTTTTGGACATAGTTTCTGTATTGGGCACGCATGTAACATGTAGCCAGTTCTGGGTTCTCTTTGTTCTCTAACAGAAGTCCTTTGATGGGTGGAAGGTCTTTTGATAGGTCTTCTTTACGGTTACTCTTTTTATATCTGGTCTAAAAGATTGTGCCTACTTTTTGATCAATAATAACAAACATAGAACTTCATATTCATATCTATAAGCATTCTTTGCCTTTCAAATTTAGTACTATCAAATTTGATTTTACCCCAAAATTTAGACTTACAAACCACTGATTTTAGAAAGAGTGCTAAGTATGAGGCCAAGATTATTGCTATTATCATTAATACCCAGCTAACCCACGCAATGTATTGATACACTCATAATCCTATTACAAAATACAGGAGTATCAACCCCGCAAACATTGAACTTAGTACAGTGGTCTGTTTCTACACTTCGTTCATTTCCGTCAAATTATTTGTCTATCTCAACATCGCTGGTTTTATAATAAAGATTTAAATTCCGTAATTTGCATCCTTCAACTTTGTTTTCATTATTAACAAGAATATCATGCATGCTTAGGCCTTTTAATTTTTTGAGTTGGCTTATCAGTTTCCAAAAGAATACTACAAAATTTTGATATAAATGGTATTGAATCTAAAGATCAGTTTTGGAATTATTTTTACCTCAGTTATCTGAAATATATTCCATTTTGTTATCACCATATTTTGTTCGTTGTGGAGGGCTGGTAATAAATAAATCTAATTTTCATTAGATTCATTCCTAGGTATTTGATAACTTTGATATTATGATAAATGGCATTGCTTTAATTTCATAGTTTGAATTATTTTTATGTAGCAGCAAGACTGATTTTTGTATGGTGAAGTATGCAACAATTTATTAATGCAGTTTATTTATAGATTATTTTGTATTTTCTAGGTTTGCAAAAAATCATCTGTAATTAGTGGCCCACTCATTCTTTTATTTCCACTATTTGTTTCTTGAATTTTGGCTTTGGCAAGAACCTCAAGTAAAATATTAATTAGAATTAGTGGCAGAGACTGCACACCATAGCACACTGTTGACACCCCAGCCCTCGGGAGGCTGAGGCAGGAGGATCACTGAGCTCAAGGCCATACTGGGCTACATAGCGAGACCTTGTCTTGGAAAACAAACAAAATTTTTTACTCTTTTGAAATGTTTGCCGTTCTAACTGCAAATATGGGCCTTTTTCCTGGAGTGTTTTTGTGTGTCAGCCCTCAAATACCAGCTCAGCTGGAGCACACTCTACTCATCCGCCTTAGCCTCTTTTGCTGCTGACTTGACTTAGGCTCTAGTGCACATTTGGGAGGAGAAGCAATGCAGGATGCGTAGCACCCCTCACTGCGGGGCGAGTCCCTTCTGCTCCATCTCAGCTCCTAAACTCTGCTCAGATTTGGTAGCTTTCTTACGATTCAAATATGAATCTAATTTTTTTGGCTTAGGTAAATATACATAGCGGAAGGATTAACCTAATGCCAGCCAGTCCCAAGTCTGAGTCTTGTTTTCATCATTAAATATCAGAATAGCTGCCTTTACTATTTTTCACTAATGTAATAAATAAGAATTGTGTCAAATTTGAGAATATGTTCTATAAAGGCTTTTTATTCATATGCAAATTGTTAAATTGGAAAAAAGCTTTCCAGAGACCTGCTCTGACCCTGTATTTTTCATACATGGTTTCTTTTCCACAATCCACACATTTCTGGGCTGGGTGACTCAGGACACATTCAGAAGACGATCTGAGCTCCAGTCCAGCACTTTCACATCGTGACTTTGGGCGGATTTACACAGCAAGTGATATGAGTATTGTTGGAAGTGATTTCTGCACTGGGCTTGTGAGCAACACCTTCACTGTATGTGGAAGTAACTTCAGACCAATAAATGCATTGCGCTAAGTCCAAGATAAGTATTGTCCTAGCTGGAGCTCAAGCTCGTTAGCTTCCCAAATGTTTGTACCCCTTCCAAAACCACCCAATACAAGAAGGGTGATGGAAGGCAGTTGAGCAGAAGGCAATGTAGTCTTAAACCTGTCCATGGGTTACCACCCAGCTCGAGGACGCAGACACTGATTCTTGGGGAGTGACAAAAAAAATCACACTGTCAAAAATACATAAATCATAAATAAAGACATAATATAAAAATCAGTCATCCAGGGGTGGCATTCAATTTTCACTACACAGCAGTTAGGAAAGCTATGTCTAAAAGGCTGGCTGGAGGGACCATCTTTTTTATAAATGTGGAGCTGTAGTATTTTAACAGGGGGGGATAAATGTCTTGCTTTGCCATGACATTAGGCCACGAGAGCCCATTGCTAACCTTCTCTCTGGACCTTGGGAAGGACACATGCAAACAAGAAGCTCTCAAGCCCAAGCTCCAAGAGCCCGCGGGGAGGGCGCCACAGTGCAGCTCCAGCAGGACTCAGGAACCCTGAGGAGCTCGCACCGCTCTTCTGCAGCTGTGAAGATGTCGATTTCAAGCGCAGGTGCAGTAGCAGCCGCTGGCCCAACACTATCACCGCCATAGCTCTGCCCTCCACCCCTGCCTTCCTGCGTGGTGGAGGGAAAGGAACTGGAAAAGAGTGGGGAGAGAGGGAGTTGCGGGCCACAGGATGAGGAGGGAGGCCACAGCCTCCAGCCTGTCCACCTGCCCACAAGATCACACTGCTGGCCCTGCCAGTGCTGGTTTCATTCTGTAAGGCCAGTGTTTACAGAAAGGCTGCAGACATTGTAACACACATGGCGCTGAGGTTCCCCAGCCATCGCTGGTACTGGTCAGCTGTTCCCTGGCTGAGACATGGCACCTCACACTTATAGGAGAGGTTTAATGCAGCTCAGAGGGTTCTGCCCATGGTCAGGGGGCTCCAAGTCAGAAAGGTCACGTGGGAAAGGCGTGGTGGGGCAAATCTGCTTAGGTGGCGGTGACTGGGGAGCAGGGAAACAGCGCGGGACAGGAGGGAGAAGGATCACACGCAGCGCCTGAGGTCTCTTCTCGGTAACTCCCCAGACACACCCAGAGCTGTGCTGTGCTGACCCTGAAGCGAGCTCCCTGGCTACTGAGATGACACGATTAAGCTCTACCGACAAGGAACCTTTGCCTGAGTTGCTCCTGCCTCTCCCTGTCCCTCTCCCTGTCCCTCTCCCTGTCCCTCTCCCGGTCCCTCTCCCTGTTTTCCCATGCCCACAAACACATTACTACTCTTCTAGACCTAGTCCAGTTTGACCATGTCCATCGCGTCTGACTCTCACGCCTTCTCCCTCATAAGAGTTGTGTTATTCAGCATTATTTCATTTTGAGAAAATTTTATTTGCAATAAATGTTTCATTGCCATCCAGCTTTGCATCCCCAGACCACATGAAGCAATGCCTGTGTGTGTGAATTACTGAGTATCAGAAACAATGAGAACCTGCCATGATCGTGGAGCTTTTTGAGAAGAGAATAGAGATGGGGAGCTTGGTTAATAAGGAGGAGACTGTCTTTGTTTTCTCATATCGAGGTTGTAATTAGGAGTGAAATCAGAACATGCCTGAAAACAAATGGATGTGCACACATGTATTTCAAGTTCTCCTCTGGATAATGGATCACAGGTGTGAAACTATTACTCCATTCAAATTAGGAAAGGAAATTTTATTTTTCTGCCTACTTTGTGTTTTATGAATAATTATGACATTTTTATTATACCAAGGATTAGTATCTACCAATAGATCCCAGGACAGAATTCATATAGCGATTACCAGCACCTTATTCTTGATTCTGTTCCTGAAATCTTGTTTAATTTTGCTCAAGGCCTTTCTCTTTTGGAACTGTGGGTTATATTGCTTGTGTAAGAGTCAAACTGTGAAGACACAGAGAACCCGTCTTTTAAAAGACAGAAATGGAGCATTTTCACCATAGAAAACTTTAAAAATGTGTTAAGGACACACTCATTTTGCTTTCATTTGCAACTGGAAAATAGTAAAATACAGCTTACCTTTCTTGCCAATGGGCCCAGACTTGCCAATACTGCCCTGGGGTCCCGTGTCCCCCAGCTCTCCTTTAATTCCTGAAAAGCAAAGCATGGTGTTTTAGATCACAAACTTTTTTCTCCTTCAAGATGCAGCAAACATATAATATTCACTTGAAGGAAATAGCAAAAAATATATTCTACCTGTGATATCTAACATGCCTCCTTTGTTACATTATCTATTCTAACTGTTACAATTTGTATATTATAGTTAATTTCTACGACAATCCTGGGTATGAAGGCAATGATACAGTATTTCTAGAATGACCACAGCAGAGTGTGTTTAATTTAAAATTTAAACAACAGACACTTTTGAGGAGTGTTTTGGCTTTGCTTTGGGATTCTGTTTCCCTGTTTCCTCTGTGTTTTAAAACAAGATTTGATAATTTTAGCCGCTTCAAAAGAGGGAAGGGATGTGTAATTGTAAGACCTAGTTATCAAAGAGACATCAGACACTGTCTTGATTTTTTCATCCCAAAACTTATGATCAGGGCCAAATGAATTCTTCTAAAATTTGTATGTATGTATGTAAAATATGACAATAGAAAAATAGAGTTTGTAAAACTTTATCTTTGTGAGAATAATTTTGAAATTAATACGTGTCTTTCTTGACTATGAGGGTAAACTAGCGTTTCTCAAACTGAGTCTTCAAGAACCAATGAGTCTTTTGTTCCCTTTGAGTTAATCAATATTTTAAAATGAGCAGCCAGGGGCAGCTATCTTGAAGCAACTGGTTGGGAAGAGTTCAGGCTTCAAAAGACTCAGACTTATACCAGAAGCTATGTCTTAACAAGGCCCACCCTTGGCTTTAGGAGTGAAAACTTCCTCATTAGCTAAGGTACTATTCCCGTTTTCTCTGCTCCTGTGTCTCTCCATTTGTCCCACTGTGTTCCCCGTGTCTATGAGAGGAGGGAAAGAAACAGAGATAGACTGTGGGAAGGTGACTTACTTCATCAACGGCTCGGGGAGCTATTTCTGTTCCTTTTTATCTTTCACTTTAAGCCCTGGGTCAGAGAAAGCTATTGGACTACAACTTCTAAGAGGAGAACAGCTGTCCTGAAAACCCATCACTTCTTAGGTTTTCCTGGATCTGAACTCTCTGAGGTTGCAGAGCACCCCCTCTGGCCAGTCCTGAGGATGTGATTTGATAAATACTCTAAGCTGTGTTACTTAGGCAAGTTCACAGGAGCTCTCAGATGGGAGGGAACTCACCTCAGAGTACCTTTCCTGTGTCTCAGACACAGAGGGCATGAAGAACTGCTAATTTCTAGGGCAAGGGAGAGGACAGAGATAAAAAGATTTTTGAGGGATTGTATCAGTTTCCTATCGATTCACCTACCTTTCGGCCCCCTGCGCCCCACTTTGCCATCTCTCCCCTCTTCTCCTGGATCTCCTCTCTCACCATCATCTCCTTTCAAAACAGAAAATGAGAGAAAGAAAGCAGCTTAAATAAAAACCCAAGTTCATTCTACCCAGGGGAGGGAGAACATGGCAGAAATCCACCACACAGCTCCAGATTTTGCCTTGGATTGAACACCATGGAACACCAAGGAACACCAAGAAAAAGTAAAAACTTACAGCATATTTTACCTTTTAGTTTTCTTCACATGCAACTCTAAAATGTTGAGGAACCTTCTAGAACCTTCCAGACCAGGAAGCTAAGGACACAATACTAGGAATGCAAAGCAATTCTGTGTGAGTAGTGGCTCTCTTGGTCATCGGTGAGTGTAGCTTCAGCACCTTGAACAATCAAGAAGGGCTGAGGGCATGGTTGAATGAAAGATGCCCTGTGTTATGAATAAACACTCTCTATTGTTCACTAATGGGGTCGGCAAATCTTTGATACATCAGTTACTGAGCTTATTGACTTTGGAGTAGGACAGGACTGGACTTGAGTCTGAGCCCACCATCCACTAGCTGGAGAAACTAGAGTACGTGGTCCTGCTGCTCTGAGTCTCATTTTGCTCACCTGCAAATCGAGCCGGATCACCTGGTAGAGAGTGTGCCTAAGAAGTTCCTGGTAACATGCAAGACCTGGGACACAATCCTAGCTGGCAACAAGGGTCATTGCCATTGCTTCCTTTGTGCTGAGGTTTCCTCACCCTTAGGGTGGGGACAGTATCTGCTCTTGACACCTCACCCAGTTGTTTTGGGATCAACAAGGTTAGCATGTGAATATGCTTTGAAAACAGAGAGCACAGCACACATGGTGCTGTGACCAGACACTTACTTTTATCACCTTAGTAATGGGAGGATGTAGGGGACTCCTGTCTGTTACTGAAGAAAGATAGAAAAAGAAAGGCGGCTTAAGGACAAGGTGAAAGTCCAGGAGTTAGACAGCTTTGAGGGAGAGAGATCTGAGATGTTTATGAACTTCACCGGAAAAAGAATATAGAACCATTTCATAGTTTTCTTTGTTTGCTTTTTGAGCAGACTGTTACTATTTTTAAGGAAAGCGAGCACAATAATAGAAGAGTCAGATTCCTAGATTCTGACATTGGTCAAGCCTTGAGTCTATCACAAGGGAATATATACACCGTGCTTCCGGGCAGATGACTTGTATGGTCAGACCAAAGGAACCGAGCGTGGATTAGGAGGTGGTTTTCTAGTCAAAGTTAACAGTGACTGTCCCTGAGTGATTCTAACCTATGCTGCACTAAGGCTATGACATGAAATTGTCGTAGCACCCCTAGGAGGTAAAAGCTATTGCTCAACTTTATAAGCAGAAAAAAAGAGAGAATTAAGTTTCTTGCTTAATTGTCAAAGACCAAGTTTGAATGAGAATTCTGCAACATTATGTTCCTGTCTCTCCCTGCACCCAGGCCCTTGCCAGGAGACAGTTGTCCCATCAGCCTCTGTGACTCTCAGCAGATGGCAGATTTTAGAGAATTTGGCACTTTGCTAAAATTTTGCAGACGGAAAAGTGGAGATAAAGAAAAATGTTTTTCATGTTTTTCCCTTTTTGAATAAGAATGAAACTAGAGGGGAAAACCCAGCTTCACTCATCAAATTCTCAGAAAATGTCTTGAAGCAGGTTAGAATGTTTGAGAGCTGGCTTTGACACTCAATAGCTGAGGAACCTTGGGAATCCTTTAACTTCTGAGGTTTGTTTCACTCATTTGTAGAACTGACAAATTAACACCTCTCTCCAGAAGGCCTCTAGCAAGCATAAAGTCAAAGCTGTTTTCCCACAGGAAGCCCTCCCAACCACTCCCAGGCTGGACTCAGTTTTTTTTTTTTCTTAAAATATTACATACTTAATTTATTTCTGCATATCCCTGACATCCTTCTGTGTCCTGAGAAATGGCTGGAATCATAAATGATTTATGCTAGCACACTTGGAATTTAGCACATTGTTTTCTGGTATTTAATAAATGTATGAGGCATCATCAAAAAATATGGTGAATGTTAAAATTAAAAATTTATTAAAATATAAAGACATTGCCATCCATGTCCCTTAAAGACTCCCCTTTGATCAGAGTGCATGGATCACATCCTTCTTGCTTCTGAAGCAGTTCTGGAGTCTCTTTCATGAAGGTCTTAGTTGGTACCATTGTGGCAGCCTCGGTGTGTGGAGTTGATTCAGAACCTTGACCTTTCATGGTCACTTTAACTTTGGGGAAGAACCAGATGTAGCAGGGTGCCAGAGCTGGTGAGTGAGGTAGATGCAGAACGCTGTGATATTTCTATGAGGCTGGGTTTTTGTTGGATGATAGGTTCTAGCAGCACTCAGCGTGCTTCTGACCACATCTTATAAAGACACTCATGAAAGAGGACTTCCAGAACGGCTTCGAGAATGGCAAGAATTATGGGACAAGTGCATTGGAAGCAAGGGGGAGCATTTTGAGGTGGATTTAAATAGTGAATTTTTTTGTTGCACCTGGTATTAGAATTGGATAGACTTGTGCGAACCCTAAAACGTTTTACCAATGAAATAACAGTATTATTGAGTACTACGTCAAAAATAGTTTATATTCCTGACATGCAGTCTCTCATCTGGTCCCTCAAGGATATTACCCTGAGCTCCATGTTAGAGATGGAGAAATGGGCACAGAGAGGTGGGCATCACTTGTGTAGAATCACGTAGCCTATAAACAGTAAACTCAGGATTCCAGCCACTCGCTGCTCTTCCAAACCCTTGCTGTGTAGGAGCTGCACGATTCGGAGCACATTGCTATCTTCCCTTTCCTGGGTCTTGGATAGCTGTTTTGTGGTAGAATCATGCCCTGCTCACTGGCAGGTAAGATTCTAAAGCCACCTGGGTGCAAATATTGTCGTTACTACCGTTTCCTTTTTTCTTCCCTTTCCTGAAAGCTTCCCCATTCATTTCCTAGCAAGTGTCTAACTGGAGGCAGCCAGGCAAGGGGCTGAGGCATCCCCAGCTCCATAGTGCCTCCCGACAGAGACCAAGAAGGGTGAAAATAGGATTATTGTCTTGGGACCTGTGAGCCTGCAGCCAGCCTGGCAGAGAGCCGGAAGCTGGCAGAGATGCAGTAGACAACTCGAGTTCTAGCCTTCAGCGTGGTCCTGGTTCCTGTGGTCCTTGGAACTTGTTTTAATGGGAGCAGAAGGGACGCAAGCTTTGGAAAGGATCCCCCCCGGGGGTGCATCATGGGGTCTCCTTTCATCCTTGGGGCACTATCTCCTTGGATTAGCAGGGCTGTTTAGAGTCACAGTTGCAAATTAGATGAAATAAACCAATTTCAGTTTTATAAAAATGATTTGTTTGGGCCCATTCTGGCTTCTAGCTTGCTGTGATAATCCTTATAGCAGAATTCTAGCAGAGTGCACAATCGATCAAATGTTCTCAAGTAGGAAATTTTTTTTGTAACAGAAAAAATTCTTTTGAAATTGAATTCTACTTTGAAATTCAGTGGCTGGACCTAGGTCAGTACCCTGTATTCAAAAGAAGTAATTACTAAAAATTAGTGTTTTCATTTTAGAAAGGTTAAGAAAAACTCATATAACTTGTTTGTTTGTTGAGGCATAGTCTTACTCTGTAGCTTAGGCTGGCCTTGAGCTAGCTATGTAACCTACACTGGCCTCGAACTCATGATGATCCTCCTACTTCAGCCTCCCAAGAGCTAAGATTACAGTGTGCACACCAGGCCCGGCTAAGGAAAACTCACTGAAAGCTGTATTTTTTTGTTGCTAACATAATCTTAGGTACTATGGAGGAGCTGTAAGTAATCTCTCCCTTCACTGATCTTAGGGACCAATGGGATAGGAGGCATGGTGTCCTTCAGATGGGGTAGAAAGTCCAGACTAAAACACATCCGTCCTGCTCCTACTGACATCTTCTTTCCAAATATGCCTATTACACACTTATTTTTGGAGATGCCTATAGTCATTTTGGTCATTCTACAGACCTTTCCTACTCAGCAGCTATACTGAAGGGGCCATGAGAGGGACCCATACTTCTCCTTCTCCAGCCCCTGGCTGAACTATTTGGGCATCTTTGGAAACCGCTGCTGATTGCCCTTCCCCACCCACAGCTTATCACATTCTCCAGGTCCTGAGTTTTTCTGATCCGGTTAACCCCCACACAGCTCTCCAAACTCACGGGCGCACCCTGCGTCGTTGAGTTGGTGTGTCACCTCGAGCCATTTCACATCTCCAATCTTAGTTCTCTCACTGTCAATAGGGAAAGTGAAGGCCACCTCCTAGACCTGCTGTGGACCAGAGGAGATCATGGATGAAAGCATCTAACACAGTTTATTCGATAAATGCCTTTCTTTTTATTTTAATATGACTAGAGGGGACGTATGACAGTGATTATTCTTTTGTATTTACCACCTGAACCCCCTCGTATAGTCATTTCTTACTTTCTGACTTGGCTATGAGCTTTTCGAACTCTTTCAGTATGGAAATGTTCACACACTTCGTGATAAGAAGACAGGTTCTCATTATGAGGATTTAACCAACATGTGTTGAAATCATGTCATCAACTTATTTTTGCTGAGTTTTAAAAAGACAATCAATTACGGACGTGGCACGTCTTCCTCAAATGCTTCAGCAAGTGTCTCTAGCGGGTGGAAACAGTCTCCTACACAAACATCTTACCCTCCATCCGCCTTGTGTTTAATGGACTGCTGGGCTCACACCGCTGCGCTGTGTCTGATCTGGTGAGAAATGAGAAGCAGAAGCTCACAGGAGTGAGTCTAAGTTCTTTGAAATCAAATCATAGCAGGCAATTCTGTTTTCACTTCTGAAAGCTTTACTAATAAATAAACCAAGAAGCCTCCTTGAACAGAGTTGGAGGAAGACAAACAACCAAATTTCCAGATTTGCAGGAGGCACAGATCTGGGAAGGTGGGTAACGCACTGATGAAGTCCGGGGGCTCCAAACTTCCACGCCCTAATTTTAAGCCTTCACTGTGTTGCTTTCCAGCTACTAAAGATCGGAGATCG